CCCCCTCCCTATCTCTGTAACCCCCTCCAGCCCCTACACCCCTCGCTATCTCTGTAAACCCCTCCAGCCCCTACACCCCTCCCTATCTCTGTAACCTCCTCCAACCCCTCCCAATCTCTGTAACTTCCTACACCCCTCCCTGTCTCTGTAACCTCCTCAGTCCCAACCCCTCGAGCAACCCTCGATTCCCATCGCTCCGCCACTGGAGGGGACGTGTCTGAGATCCTGAGCTCAGGGATTCCCTCCCTAAACCTGTCCATCCCTCTCCACGCTCACCCCCCCAACTCCTGTGAAATTCATATTAAAATGAATGCCTTTGGCCGGCGGAGCTAAAATCTCTCTCTGTCTCTCTCTCTCAGTGTTCCTCAGCGTGACTGTCGAGTTGATCTGCACCAGTGAGAAGTGCCTCAGCAATGCTGTGTCCCCTGAAGGGCGCTACGCTAATGCAGGCTGCTCTAACTGTATTCTGATGGCGTGTTGGGTTTTTCCCAAACCGGGTGACTCCGGAGGTCCTCTGGTGTGCGGTGGGAAGTTGGAGGGGATCGTTTCCTGGGGGAATGGCTGTGCCCTGAGGGGTCTATCCCAGTGTCTACACTAAAGTCTGCAACTCCCTCTCCTGGATCAGGGAAACCATGGCGTACAATTAGAAATCACCGCATCACATATTCCTGCCTCCTCCCAGCTTTGGGGGGCGACAGTCAATAATAAAAGTCATTTTTGAGAACAAACGTTGGCTGTTTATATCGAATGGTTGTTCCTGTTAGAAATCGTGCGGTTGCTCAACGTTAGACCATGAGACGTCAGAGCAGATGTGGTCCATTCAGCCCATCGAGTCCATTCTGTTTTTCTTTTTAATGAGAATTGACAAAGATTAACCTCTGACCCGCCTCAGGGCTGATACAAGGACAGCAAATTAGGGTGGGACGGTGGCTCAGTGGTTAGCACTACTGCCTCACAGCACCAGGGACCCAGGTTCGATCCCACCCTCAGGCAACTGTCTGTGTGGAGTTTGTACATTGTCTGCGTGGGTTTCCTCCGGGTGCTCCGGCTTCCTCCCATAGTCCAAAGATGTGTAGGTTAGAGTGTATTGGCCGTGCTATAGTGTCCAGGGATGTGTAGATTAGGTGGGTTATAGGGGGATGGGTCTGGGTGGGAAGCTCTGAGGGTCGGTGCAGACTAGTTGGGCCGAAGGGCCTGTTTCCACGCTGTGGGGGTTCTATGATTAAATTCCACAGGTAGCCTCTATCGTTACTGCAGCAGGAAATTGTATTGTTGGTTGGCAAATTCACCCTGATGGGGGTTAATCATTGCTGTGGAGAATTCTCCAGGGGATTGTTATTCACAACATTTTATTTGCTTGTGGCTGTTGGAGGTCAGTCATCTCGGCTCCAGGACATCTCTGCAATAGTCCCTCAGGGGAGTGTCCTAGGCCCAACCATCTTCAGCTGCTTCATCAATGACCTTCCCTCCACCATAAGGACAGAAATGGGGATGTTTGCCGATGATTGCACGATGTTCAGCACCATTAGTGACTCCTCAGGTACTGAAGCAGGCCATGTTCACATGCAACAAGATCTGGACAATATCCCGGCTTGGGCTGACAAGGGGCAAGTGACATTCGTGCCACACAATGCCAGGCTAAGCCCATCACCAATAAGAGACAATCTACCCACCGCCCCTTGACATTCAATGGTGTTCCCATCACTGAATCCCCCACTATCAACATCCTGGGGGTTATCACTGACCAGAAACTCAACTGAACTCACCACATAAACACAGCGGCTACAAGAGCAGGTCAGAGGCTGGGAATCCTGCAGCGAGTAACTTCCCTCCTGACTCCCCACAAAGCCTGTCCCACCATCGACAAGGCACAAGTCAGGAGTGGGATGGAATACTCCCCACTTGCCCTGGATGGGGGCAGCTCCAACAACACTCAAGAAGCTCCACACCCTCCAGGACAAAGCAGCCCCCGCTCAATTGGCACCACATCCACAAACATCCCACTCCCTCCCCCCACCGACGCTCAGTCGCAGCAGTGTGTACCATCTACAAGATGCACGGCAGAGGTTCACCAAAGATCCTCAGACAGCACCTTCCAAACCCACGGCCACTTCCATCTAGAAGGACAAGGGGCAGCAGATACATGGGAACACCAGCCCCCTGCAAGTTCCCCTCCGAGCCACTCCCCATCCTGACTTGGGAATATATTGCCGTTCCTTCAGTGTCGCTGGGTCAAAATCCTGGAATTCCCTCCCTAAGGGGGCATTGTGGGTCAACCCACAGCACATGGGGACTGCAGCGGTTCAAGAAGGCAGCTCTGAGGATGATTGGAGATGTGCCAAGGTGTTGTCTGTTCTCAGTTCCATGAGCGATATCCAGTTACAGATACCCAGGGGAAGATTCCTGCCTGTTTGCTGTGAATTTAGCATGGTTAAATCTCTAAAGATGCTGCTGGGGGCTACAGTGGGCACTGAGCAATGAGGCACAATTACACTGTACAGATGGATATACCACAGCTTCTCAAGGGGGGGCAACTAGGGACGGGGCAATAAATACTGGGCCCAGCCAGCGACTAATCCTAACAAAATAAGATCTTGTGTGATTGAATAAAGTATTTTCTTTAGAGCGACTCAGTGTTTCACTGAGTATTGTAATGCCCTCCTGTGGTATATCCATCTGTACAGTGTAATTGTGCCTCATTACTCAGTGCCCACTGTAGCCCCCAGCAGCATCTTTAGAGATTTAACCATGCTAAATTCACAGCAAACAGGCAGGAATCTTCCCCTGGGTATCTGTAACTGGATATCGCTCATGGAACTGAGAACAGACAACACCTTGGCACATCTCCAATCATCCTCAGACACATGTTCCTTCCTCTCTGTCTCTCTCTCTCTCTTAGACACACTCACACTCACTCAGCTATCATTCTCCCCCTGTCTCTCCGGCTCTCTATCTCCCCATCAGCCCCTCCACACCTGCCCTTGTTCTCCTCAGGGTTTATTTCCCCAGTGCACTCACTCCCTCTCCCTCATTTCCTCCCTTCTTCTCTCGCTCACATTCTTGCACCTCTTTGCTCTCCCTCTCTCCATCCCTCTCCCCCTCTCCATTCCTCTCCCCGCCTCTCTCCTCCCTCTCCCCCCCTTCTCCCTAATGTCTCTCTCTCTCTCTCTCTTACACCACCCTCACTCTCCCCAACCCTCTCTCTCCCCCCCTTCTCCCTCTCTCCCCATCCTTTCTCTCCCCTCCCTCCCCTTCAACCCTCTCTCTCTCCCCCTTCTCCCTCTCTCCCCACCCTCTCTCCCCCCCTCTCCCCCCAACCCTC